TCTTTGCTAAGGTCGCCAATTTCAATCACAGGTTTTTTTGCACGTGACCAAGCACTGCGAGCTAAAATAAGAATCACGATCTGTAAGTAATAATTCTTGGAGTGCACCAAAAAACAATGCAGAACTTACATTCCATTCTTCTAGGCACCGAACCTTCATTGCTAACAAATACAACGATATATTTTCTGCGATCGGCATTATCCTTGGCGTCATCTTGGAGAATATCGAGGATTTCCGGATTTTTGTTAACCAATCGGCTAACGTTGTCGTAAATAATGACCGGAGGTTTGCCATGCTTCGCTTTATACACTTCAGAAGCGCGCTTAAAGGCATCCATAGCTCTTTCCCACTTTGAATTTCCTAATTCATCTATAAAAGGGAAATCAGGATTAAAATGCTGGTCTCAAACAATAAAATAGAAATAGCGATCTTACCCTTAGAATCGCCAAAAAATTTCCGCTTCAGTCGTAATGTGAGCATGGCATCTTCATCAAATGTGAAATTGAGAGCTTTTCCAAACTCCTCGCCCAGTTTGTTAATATTTGCAGGAACATCAACATATATGACGCCTTTCCCAATTTCTCTTGCCTCCTTCGCAGTCAATGTTGTCTTCCCGGTTCCGTATTCACCACAAATAACATGGTAATATGAATGATTTTTATCTGGTTGAAAAAGGTTCTTAAGATGTTCTACGACTTCAGGCCGAGGAATAAACTCATCATTCGACACTTCCGTCTCCGGTTGAGTACCTTTTTCCAGGGTTTTGTTGACGCGTCGCTCATTAGATTGGGTCACCCACCCAAGGTAAATAAGGTCCCCCGCAAAAACGAGCGCACCGCTACCCAACACAAGTCTCCACAGGCCTTTCCAGTTGATCCGGTCCTTCCAATTGATGGAACCTAAGTAGTTTTGTACCAGAATCCATTTCTTCCAGGCGAGGGAGGCAGACTTCGATTTTTCAGACTCATTAGGAGCAGGATTTGTAAAAGTTCTCGAAAAAGATGATTGAAACAGGTCAGGTCTTGAGTTTCTCAACGCAAATTTTGGTGGCTGAAGGAATAAGACTTGACGGGTAACGAAGCGAAATGGTAAAACGCTTCTACAAAGGCACGTGATATTGGAGGACATTTGTGCTGGTTAGATTCAAAAAATAAGAAATATTTTTCCCGATCGATCGCCGGTTCGCGTTGCACAGCCGGACATGTATTACGGATAAATCTTTCGTCACAAATCTGCAAACATATAAAACACATAATATCAAGCATGTCGTCCGAACTAGATTTACTCAGACAAGAAAATGCAAAACTTATGGATGAGAATGCTTCGCTCTTGGCTAAGAAAGCAGGACTTTTTTAGAAGACTATCCCCTCCTGCGATAATTAACCATAACATAATTTTGCATAGAAGAAGTATGGTTATCAGATAAGTAATATAGATATTCTTCAGCTATTGTCATATTACAATATCATAAACTGCTTCCAATTTATATAAATAGTGAGAAATTAAATCATAATCTTTATAGAATCTATTGAACTATTTAATATCTGGCTTATCTAGATCATTTATTTAGCCAGAAATTATAGCTTTTTGTATTTAAGTGAGTAATTCTCTAGCTCTTTCTTGATCCTTTTTCATAGATTTAAATTTTTAAAGAATATTTAACTGGTCTTGATTCTTTATATAATCTATTATATCAATATCTGTAATATTGTAACCAATCACCTATTTGTGTGGCGCAGTAGACACAATGCAGTATATGGCACAGCCGCAGTATGTGGCGCAGTAATCACTGATCACTACTAAATTGGGTGAATAAGTAATTTTTACTAATTAATCTTATTTATAATTAATTTTATTTTTAATTTATATTATTATTCATATTTAGTCTTATTCTTTTATTAATT